AAAAAAAAAAAAAAAAAAAAAAAAAAAAAAAAAAAAAAAAAAAATCGGGGAAAAAGTTAAACATGTTTAAGTTAAGAATGATTCCGATAACGTAAAATGGAACCTCGTAATAACGATATCTTAGATCCCAAGAATACCTGTCGTTAGGAAAGTTTCAAAGTGACAGTGGTTTTTACAATAACCATTCATAAATTTTTACGATAAATAAATTTAGTCTAAAGCTAAAACATGATGTTTAAGATCTGCGTTCTAATCTTTGAACCATTAAATTCAGAGCTCTAAACATTTTTTGTGCTTATTCAGTGTCTTATATCAACAAACAAAACCTAATTGCTTGATAAACCATATATTTTTAGCAACTTTTTTCGACAGACAACCTGTCTCTGGGTCTCGAGTGAATAGACTGCAGGGTCAATTCCCCACTTACCGAGTGCAATTGCACAGGCGTTTGTAGGTACTGTGCCTCGATTAGAAGCTTATCGACATGAACTATAGACTGTAAAAAGAGGCTCTTTGCAAGCATGTATGACATGACGTCGATTGATTCATTATCTAACCGAGGAAGAAAAAGAGAGGAATGGACATCAAGGGGTTCAAGGTTACGGGCATGAAACTGCACGATTTGCCAGTGCTGCCGTGCTAGGGAAAAACGCCGTATGAACCTTCAGGCGTTGCCAAATTGCCATTGATAACACGCACATTTCCTGGTAAACTTATGAATATTTCTCTTCCAATTTTTCGGATAATTTTGTTCGCAATTTCGCCTAAAGTTCCTGAAAATTTCAAGGAAAAACATTCATAACTTTTCTCAGAAATAAACATTTTAACAAAGGAAATTTGACAACTCTCGAATGTTCATACGACGTTCTTCCTTGGCACGGCAGAGTGGGACTTAAGTCTTATGAGTTTGTAGCATTTATGAATTAAACTCTGCTGAAAATGCTTGCAGACCTAATCACATAAGCACGTCTTGGCTTTGATGAATGACGCATTTGAAAAAAAAATTGAATTTTAAAGTCACGCATGCGACTCATTTTACTCTTAAAAGTCTAACGATTTTAACTGAAACGTGATGAATGGGTAAAAATCTAAAATACTGTAACCGCAAAAACAGGACGGATGGAAGACTTAAGTGAAATTTTTGGAAAAGTTTGGATATTATTCATTTCACTACAAATTCTTGCTATGGGTGATAAAAGAAACACAACGAAATAGCCTGATTCAACAATAAAATACAAGAATAACGCCTAAAAAAATGGGCAACCAACACAGGCAGGGCATTTTGGGCCAATTATATACCCATGACCAACTGGGACAAAAGCTAAAGTTAAAAAATTAAAACAATGAAGGAGAATGAAGGAGAATGCAAAATTGGTTCGTTCTTGTTCAGAATGAACTTTTAATTTATTGACTTGGAACGTTTTGGCTCTTTGTTCACCATTTAGCGTTTCTATACCCATGTTTTAGTGGTATTTTTTTTTTTTTTTTTTTGTATTTTTCCTGCTAGAGTGTAGCTGTATACTTTGTGAAAAAAATTGACATTGAAGCTCATTTTTCCAACTCAATATTCGAAGTCAAAGTCCAATCGGGCGTCATTAGCTACCATGTAAAGTTTTCAAAAATTAAACGCGTTTTTCTCAAAAGTGCGAAAAATTTACTTAGCTCCTACGTTTTTGGTACCCTAAATTTGTTGTCAATGGTCATATTGTGAAATTCTGACTGTCTTTTGAAATGAAAATTTCATAAATGAACTAAATTGGCAGGTCTTTTATTTGTTGGCTATTTAGAAATAAATATTTCCCATGTGCTTAATGCATTTTTCATAAGTATCGGGTAACTTTTAGTGTAAGCTCATGCTGAACCAAAAATGGATCTTAAGAGTTGGCAACTATTTCCTCTCCTTTTAAATGTGAGTAAAACAATCGACTCTGGTTCAGACAGGTTGCATCACCTTTAATCGAAAATTTCAATGGATATAAATTATGGAAATCCAAAGTTGCCAACTTGCTAAAATCGCCCCTGTACTAAAGATTTGCAGCGTGAAAATGTAATGCCTCCACATCTCATCCTCCGCTGCGCTGAGTCATCAGTTAAAACGCGCCTTCAATCCTGACTGATGCAAAATGTCTCTCTCTTTCCATCTAGACCAGCTTCAGAGTAGATGTCACTAAAGAATCTTTGCGCACATATCAAACTATTAATTATTATAAAAAGTCAGTCGTTTCATATGACATACAATTAACTCAGAAGTTTCAAAATTAAGTGTGTCTCAGTTTTTTTATGTCTTTCCCATGAGCGCTTTATTCATCAAAATATAATAAAATCAAAGCAGAGACGTTTTTTCTGGGATCTTCTCCCTCTTTCTTCCTGGACGCATTATTTATTATGGAATCAATAATACAATGAAAGTAAATGAGATTTTATACAACTATTTTTAATGGAGCTAAATCCCTGGTTGAAACATAGGTATGACCCCTCCTCTCACAATTAGTCTTTCAGAGAATTAATCGCGACCGGCGCGGCGTGTGAGTCAACGGACGAGTGGGGTAAGTTGGGGCGAGGAAAAAGCTCCAAGACATTATGACATTAAATTTGCTTGTATAGAAATCAATTATGAGCGGAAATTAGACGATGTGGAATGCAGCAGTGGCGGGGCGTGAATGATCGATTATCGATTTTCAGTCATTTGAAGCTATGGCAAAAGATCGATTATTGATTTGTTCTTTGCGAACACCCTGTATCTCGATCCTTTGCCATAGGTTT